GTTTTGTAAAAATCGACGCGTTTCAAAAATGCGGGGCATAGAGGAGAAACAATAATGTACAGTATGTGGAAAATAATGTGGTTTTTTAACTTTAAACCGTATAAACACATTTCATTACACCAAATACACAAAATAATGTTCTTTTTAGCAGCATCATATGACCCCTTTAACAAGAGCCTTGGACCACTGACAATTCCATCGTTCCCCTTGTTTGTTTGTTTTTCCCCTAAAGACAAAGGAACACTTGATATTAATGTATTTTGATCATTGCAGATGCAAAATAAGTAAACAAACAAACAAATAATATAATGAAAAGAAATATGTGACTATTTTCCAAATGTAAATAAATAAATCAGCAACTCTGGATCTGACAGCATGATGCAACAATGCATTAAACCTCAAATAATGAACATCTATAGTTTGGGAAACAGGCATTGCTCAATCAATCAATCAATAAATAAAACATAAATAAATTAAAAAAATTGCAGTGTCCCAATTCACATACAATCCATCGTAAATAGTAATCAAAATTAGAATGAGTTTGTCCCAAAAAATATGTATTGCATCTGCAACAACACTGTGAATTTTTAAAAAGATACATTTGGCCAGTAAATTAAATGCATCCTTACGAAAAAAAAAAATATATATATATTTACTTCGAGGAGAGCTCTCCACATGAAAAACCCACGACTGGCAGATCAACGTGCTACTTCTGTTCTCTCCAATATATGGTAGGAAGAATTGTAGAGTAAATTAAATAATCTTAAATTTGTAAAATATACTGTGAGAACGAAGAAAAACTTTAGGAAGTTGTAGTGTTGCATTATGGGTGATTTTTTTAACAAGACTGATCGATCAAAATTGCAGTGTTGTCAATGCTGCTGTGTGCAAAGCTAATTTAGAGCCAATTATCAGCATTCGCCAGTGTTTAGAATGAGGGCGTCCATTTTTAATTTCTCTGCAGTGCCTGTAACACACTCCCATTATGATCCATCAATCAGCTGGATGGCAATTAAAGGAGAGCTGTCCAGGAGTGACTGCATGAGGCAAGCAGAGCAGGTGCATCACTTTAAGGATGATGATGACATACACATTGCCAATGAACAGTCCTTGGTCGCGTTACTCAAAGAGCACCTGTCACTTACATTGACACGCTCCTGCTGTTTCAGCACAAGTGTGCCTTTGGGAATTACTTGAGAATGGTCAAAGGGTCTGAGATGACCACAAAGATGAGAGCACGAATTTAAGATGTTGTTTATTCACAAAGCTGGCACTTTTAAAAATCCTGTTCTGGCATAGTGCACTGTGTGCTGGACGTACATTTTTGCTTTGGAGACTGTGCTCAGAAAAGCTTGTTTTATTGATTTTTCATCCATCACAAATATGATTCACGTTTGTTAGTGAGTAAACTTCTGCAACATAAATTCTGAAGCATTTATAGTCTATAAGAGTAAACATAATGCATATCTACAGTATGCTATAAGCAATTGCTTAAATATGTTTGTTGCACAGAAGCAACATTGTGTGGCAGCGGAATTGGATATGGTAGATAAAGAATTAATAATGTTTTTTTTGTGTGTGTGTGTGTGTGTGTGTGTTACGCATTATTATTTATAAATGTATACATATTGAGTATTTGCATAATGTTTAAAAAATAAGGGAGGAGTCAGTTCTGTTTCTGTTCTACAGCAGATTTTAGTGCCTGACCTCCATGAAGCAATTTAGTCTAAATGGGAACAAATACCTTCATCCATGTTCCGTCATCAAGTGGAAGGCCTTCCCAAAAGAGTGGATGCTGTTTTAGCAGTAAAGGGATGGATTCATGGCTTTTGCCATGCTTTTAAAATTAGATGTTCCATAAAAGCAAGAAAGTTCAATAGAATGTTATGGTTGAGTGTAGCATTAAGGTTTGTTTTACTGGAATTACTGGAACAGACAATTAATGGATTCATTAATTAGGGGTTTTCAAATATGCTGTCATGAATTATATGTTACATCTTAATAAAAAGCCCTGAAAATGCAATTATTGTGTTCATGTTTTAATATTTAATGTTTATTTTTTCTTTTTTCTTTTATAATGTTAAGTTTTTACAGTGTTCATTGTTTGAAAAAGAATATTGGACAATGACATTTTCTATAAAATGCTAGAAATTCTTTAGTTGATTAATCAAACAAATAATTGACCGATGAATTGGTGAGTTAGTTAAGTTAGTTGCAGTTAGACACTCTAATCTCACAGCTGCTTCATATTTACAGTTGATGTATATTTCATCCACAGTGATACTTCTTTAAATTCTAAAAACTTAAATTTTAGGAATATTATCTCTAACATCATATTATAACCACTGAAATCAAAACTATATAATACTTAAAATTTGATGACAGCAACTGAAGAAACCAAAAATTACTTAGTGTTGTGTGGTTAACCAAGAAAAAATGTTCTACAAGGAACATTTATATATTTTTTTCTTGGTATCCACTTCTCTATCTTACTGCTGTATCAGGTTTGTTGTTTGGCTGATATTCCACCATGCTGTTTTTATTTTGGAGCACACATTTTTCATTGTGTCTTGACACT